CAAGAAGCTTCGCATTCTAAAGCGTTTGCAATACTGTTTCCATATATTTCTTGTATTCTTTCAATATTCGAGAGTAGATAAGGATGTTATTGAAATAAGCAATAACAAACTGATCCAGATGCTTGCATAGAATATGATTAATCATTTCCTGAAATGAAGCTGAAGCATTCGTTAAACCAAAGAGCATAACCAAATATTCGTAGTATCCATAGCATATTCTAAAAGCAGTTTTCCATTCTTCTCCTTTCTTTACTCTGATCAGATTATAAGCTCCTTTCAGATTCAGAACTATAAACTACTATACTCCTTACAATCTATCTTATAGTTCCTTAATAAGTAGTAACAGATATTGGTTCTTAATTATAATATCATTAAATTGCTTGTAATCAATGCATAGCCTAAGCTTGCTGTTTTTCTTAGATATAAATAGGATGGGATATTCTGCTAATGATTGCAATAATCGTATATATCCTTTCTTAAGATTCTCATCAAGATATTCCCTGAGTACTTCTAGCTATACCTTATCTAGTTCATAAATAAGAAAGAATTTGAGCTGTTTCTCTTCTTGTAGCAGAATCTTGTAGTTATATAAGCTATATTCTGGCAATCCTGTATCCAATTCTTTCTGAAACAATTTCTTAAACTTATAATATTCTCGTAGTATGTTCGCAAGTATTGATTCTAGTCCTTGTGCTATTTCTGCTACCTGGAGGAACAGTAGGTACTGTTGAGCATGCTTCTTTTCTGATAGCGTTTTCGAGAGCCTTGAGCGTCCGCTCCGGGCTGGAGCGAGCGCTCGAAGGCTTGGTTTCGAGGTTTTTCCTGTATGAATCCACAATCCACTTTCTGAAGCTTTTTCTTGTTGCTCCGGAGCGAACCAACTTGCTGAGAGCCTTGCTTCCGTTGTTTTGCTAATCTGTTAACGCTCTAGCACTGTTTGAGTTCGCTTATTACTAGATTCTTCTCCTTGAACTGCTAGCTCTACTGACTTAGAAGTATATATAAAATCGTATGAAGCTTCTTTTTCTGAATATTCTTCAACTACTAGCTTCAATCCTGCACTGTTGATTATAACTATCTCTCTGGATACAGCTTGTTTCCATAAGAGCTAGCTAGTAGTTCAATCGATTCGAGAATTATACTCCTTAAGCTATAAAAGCTTCATAATTAGCTCATGCTATACCATATTCATAATATCAAAAGAAACCCTAATTATACATCCTTGAATCAAGATAAGTAGATAATCAATCTCCTTATCGATTACTCCTTAGTTATATGCAACAGATTATCCTTTCACAGTGCTGAAAGTATATAAGCGTTTCTTTTATCTCTATTGTAGTTATACCTGATTGATAATATATAGGAATATGAAGTTTCCCTGAATGCTACTATTCAATAGTGCGCTATACTTATGCTCTTGAATATATATATCAAACTTAATATAAGCATAATCTATCTTGAAAGCTCCACATAAGGACCGTTTCAGTCTGATCGTCTGCAATCCCTTTACAGGCAATCCTATTCTTTTGAATCTATTGAGAACTGCTTATCCTTCTAAGCCTGCTTTGCTGCTTCTTAAGCAAGCTTCTTAGCTTGCTTTTATTCGTATCATTATTATTTCTAATCTTTCTTCTGTTAATGCTAATTGCAAACTTTATTATTAATATGAATTGTGCAGAGTATTGTTTTGCATTGCTACTACTTCATTTCCTTATTCATACATTGTATAGAGCAGTTGTCTGATAATCTGATATATGCATTATAATACTATCTGTTAAGAATCTCTCTAAAGCGGAGTTTCTGTTTTCCAACAGCTTGAAGAATTTGTTCTGATTCTCTGATAAGGAATTATTCGTATTGCATCTTATCCGAAAAATGCATTCTGCAGCTATAATAAGTGCAGAAGATCTAAGCTAATTCATGATATAGATTGTGAAGTAAGCTGATCTGAGGATTCTTATCTTCTTATGCCTTAATATTCTGCAAGGAAATGCAGATAAAGAGCTCTTTCAGCCCTATTCTATAAACAAGATATTCGATTCATATTGTTTTCTTATTTCATTCAATACTGAAGAGGAATCTTCTTATAAGCTTCTTAAGTTTATTGTTTACGAGAGACTCCGGTAAATCGTTAGATTATTCGTTCTAGCTTGATCTTTTTATTGCCTAAGAAGCGTTTTCGGTATTATTTAGATATTTATACCAATAACTGAGAGAATACTATCCTTTATTCATTTCTCTAGTTATAGTATCTGATGCAGATGATGAGGAATGGCGAAGGGTACTGTTGTTAAGCCCTTCCTCCAGCGCTTGAATGCTTCGTTCAGTAACATCAGAGCAGTCCGAGTTATTACTGCTCATAGTCATGCTGAGCGTATACTCTTGTCCTGCTATTGCTATTTATCTGCAGCGCTTAGATTTCTGAGAGAATCATTCTAAATCTTTCTTACTCAAGAGGTATATTAAGCAGTTGTTATTATAGCAGAATATCCAGCTAAGACTTTTATAATCAATAGAATCTGATACTTGCTTCGAAAGAGTATTTTTGCTCAGTTGATTGGATTCCTATTGTTGAGCAACATTCATCTAGCATTCTTTCTGAACTAATTGCTATTTATTCTTCCAGGATTGATAGCAGTTGCATGCAATATATTCTTATTTATTATAATTATAGCAAATAATATTATTCTTCTTGCTATACTGCTTATTAGCTGCATTAAGTTTTATAGAATTAGCATGTATAGTGCTGCTCTAAGCTATACTGCTATATTAACTGCTATTCTTATTTTGGAATTTCTTGCTTATATTAGCTGGAAATCTCCAAGTTTAGCTTTCTCTCTTCTTAGACTTCTTTATTCATCATTTATACAAACAATTATTGATGCAGATAGCTTAATTGAAGAATATTACAAAGTTTTCCAGCTAATTCTGCTTGAAGATTTCATCTTTAACATTATTCTTGAATCTCTTATAGTAATGCTTTATGAGATTCTTGTCTTTCCATAAGAATTGTACTGAGAATTGCTTAAATCTGATTATATAAGCAGAAGCTAACTTGGTTTATCTGAGATTTATAAGCTGCTAAGCTGTAATATATTCTTTATTAGAATTATCAAAGATTTCTTTAAGAGCTTTCTTAAAGCTTTTAAAGGAATTGAATATATTCTTGGTATTCTGGGTATGCATGCTAGGATTATTCTGATGCTCCAAATGATTGCGTAGAGAAGGCTTGTACTAAATAAGAGCATTCTTTTCAAAGTGAGTCTCTGTAAGAATAATCTTCTTAGATTTCATAGTAAACTGGGTTGCATAATGCAAGAAATACATTCTGCAGTGGGTAAGGAATCTGTATAGCATCTTTTGATTGCTATTATATATAGCAAGCTTGTTCATCTTGTATGCCTTTTCAGCTCCATTGATAACTGCAAAGGTGAACTGCGCCTGCTAAGCTTGTTGAGCTAGCTGAGCCTGCTGAGCCTGCTGGGCTAGCTGGGCCTGCTGGTTGGCGATAGTAGCGCTTTGGGCCTGCTATTGTTCGCGCAGGTTCTGAATATGCTGAGTAAGCTGATACATCTGATTAACCAGTTTCTCTTGAGTAGAGGTGCGCAAGAATGAAGGAATTCCTGAAGAAGCTATTATATTCCGTATTGCTCAAGAGATAATACTAAACTATTCTTGAATAAGAATTATCAAAATATAATAAGCACTGCAGTAATCCGAAGATTCCTAAGTATATAAGAGGTTTATGCTAACAAGAGCAATATCAAAGTATTAAGTTCTTGAATACGGAATTATACAAGTTCTAATAAGCGATGCAAGTATTTACTGCTTTTGAAGCTATTTAGTATAGGAGACTGAATATTTAGATTGATAACTGAAGAGCTATATATGATAATCTATCTAATGATAATGAATGTATGATTATATATTCAGCTCTTCAGTATAGCTTGCTAGGATTGCTAGCGAGTCTAGCGATTCAAGATGTAAAGCTTGTTGGGATTGCTAGCAATCCCAACAATCCTTTCTTCTTTACAATCCTAACTCTGAGTTATGTAATCGATGCTTTATCAGAATATTGAATCCTTGATATCTGGTCTCTATTACTCGTAACCTGTTCTGTAACCTGCATGTTGAATGAGTCATAACACTCTGAGATAATATATTTGATAATCTCATTAAAAGCTTCTTATGCTTTAGAGTGTAATGAGCACTGCAGTAATCCGAAGATTCCTAAGTACACAAGAGATTTATGCTAATAAGAGCGGTGTCAAAGTATCAAGTTCTTGAATACGGAACTGTACAAGTTCTAATAAGCGATGCAAGTATTCACTGCTTTTGAAGCTACTCAGTGTATGAAACTGAATACTTAGATTAATAACTGAAGAGCTATATACTAAATCTATCTAATGGTAATGAATATGTTCTTATATATTCAGCTCTTTAGTATAAATATATTGAATAGCAACATATTCAAGTTATTCTGCTAGCTCTGAATAGCACATATCCGAAGCTATCCTTCCTGATTAGCTATGCTTATAACCCTAACTCTGAATTATATAATCAGTGCTTTATCAGAATATTAAATCCTTAATACCTAGTTCCTGTTACTTATAACCTGTTCTATAACCTGCATATTGGATGAATTATAACATCATCTCCCTTCTATCAGTTATTATCCCTAACAATCTTCTATAAGTATTCTGATAAGTCTCTGTATTTATAATCTTGCTTTTCTAATTAAGATGTTGAATAGAATTAATAAATCTCGTTCTTATGCTGAGAAAACTAAACAAAAGGATTCTCTTCTTTTCTTAGTTCTTCAAAACGCTATTACTATGCCTTCTTATTCCTTCTATAAGAATTATAATATTCAGTTTTATTAAGTTTCTGTTGAGGATTCCTCTTGCTATATCGAATGTATCTGCTTGGATTGCTTTCGATGCGATGTTCAAGGGTTGAGCGCAGCGGAAATTCGTTGGATAAGCGTTTAATACTAATGCCTGGAGAACCAACTCGAGAGTACTGAGGAGCAGCTGTGCAATGCTGCTGCAGAGGTAGAATGTTTGCGGAAGCAGAAGCATCTGTGGTTTGAGAGGATGATGAAAGCTATTCATCAAAGCCTTTCCAGTATGGAAAAGTTGGAATATAAAAAAGCTGAGAAGAAGCGAGCTTGCATTGCTGCTGGGGTTCGTTCTGTAGTTGCAGAGAAGTTTGCTGTAGTTGCTGGAGATTCTTCTTTTAAGAGTTTTAACTGAAATTTCGTGGATATAGGGAATGCAGTGGTGAATTAGTTGGATTTCTTAGAGAGTGAGATTCCTGAGGCTTCTGAGTCTTGGTTTGGAGCGGAGCGATCGTCTTAGATACTAGTTTCCTTTCTTTTCCAATACTCAGTTACTCTCTCTTGAGCGTTTTTAACGTTCCTCCGTAGTTTCTATGAGTTTTCGCTTGCTGAGTAGCTTTTCCATTTGATAAGATATTCCCTTGTGCTGTTTATATCTCTGTACTTAAGAATCTTTTCTATCTCATATTCTAATTCATTATTTTCCACTTCTGCTATATTGTTTGTTAGTATTTTCTATGCTGCTGGTTCTAATAGTAAAATGTGAAAGACTGGATATATTCTCATTTCATAAGATAATACTAACTTGTAATTAATCAGAGAAATCTGCTGCAAGATTTTGAATAGTTCTAACTTCTTATAATCAAGTTTATTGTTAGATCTTGTTGTTTTAATATTTTTTCAAAATAAGTAAACCTTATTTCTCTTCTATAGGATTAATCTCTCAATTCTTTTAGAATTTGCATACTGTATTATTCATTCTTGAATAAATTATAATTCTAATTAGAGTTTCTTCTAAACTTTCTTAATCTTCTTAATTCTTTTATCTGCAGCTTTTGCATCTGCTTCTAGCAATGCTTTATAGTAAGCTGTTGGATTGTATCTATAGAGTATGAAGAATAATAATTTCTTTATTATACTCATATCCGCGCTATTATAAGCGAACTATACAAGAAGTAATAAATCAACTCAGTTATTCTGTTTCTAATTAATATAGTATTATAAATACTATTTAATAACTTGATTTATTCTTTCTATTTGTTTATCTATTTGTGAGTAAAATGCTGTAAATATTCTGTAGTATATTCTGAGTTATTTCATAAGCAAAGTTCAAAACTTTGAGTTAAACTTTCTGTTTCTATTGAAGATCACTTCTTCTAATATGCTATAATTAGCAATGATTATTCTGAGGAATGCATATGCAAGTTCCTCTGCTATACTGCTTTCCTTGTAGAGAAGAAAATAAGCATACTTGCTCAGTCTGCAAATTACTATTAGAATGCTATTGTATTATATCTTAGTTAAGAGTTCTTGTAAGAGAGATAGCTTGATAATAAAGTTTAAACTAATAAATTGCTAAACAGTTATAAGTATTGGTAAGGAGTGTAGTAGTTTATAAGGCTTGTATTTTTCTGCTTTATTCTTCTTGCAGCTGTTGCATTATTATAGAATATTTTCAATTCTTTTTCTAAGATCTAGTAGATTTCAGTATCTTTTAATACATTTGTAAATTGCTCTAACTCTCTGATATCTGTATACTGATATGCTGTATATATTCTTGATATAGTTATCTTATTTATCTGAAGTTATTAATTCTGAATTCCTTTCTAAGAATCCGATTCTGAGAGCTGTATTCAGTTTTCTATATGCATTAATGAGATTTCCCGACTCGTTTTGAGCAAAGATGTTCTATATATTCAAGGAGCTTGCATCTTGATAGTTTGCTCTTCTGCTGAAAGCATCTGCTCGTTCATTCTCCGAGCTTTTGCAGTATATAATCTTGAAATCAAACTGTAAGAGGAATTCTGCTTATTTAACTTGTTGCTTGTTCAAAACCTTGGTTATTATAAATGTAATCAGATTCTTGTAATCCGAGTAAACTATAATCGGGTATTATATGCTAATAAGATAGTATTGCTACTTCTTGAAAGCTTTTATTATTGCTATAAGTTTCTGATTAAAGATTCTGTAATTAATTTCTGAACTATTTAACTTCTTTAAGAAGTTGCTTACAATTCTTAAATGTTCTTAATCATCTTGCTAGCTAAGTTGTTCTCTGAGTATATATTCCAATGCATTAATCTCAACTTCAAAGAGTTTATAGAGATCTGCTTTATACAGAACTAGTTCTGAGGTAATATGCCTAATGATTTCATTAAAAGCTTCTTATGCTTTGAAGATTTATTCGAAAGATTGTTTTTTTTTAGTAAGACTTATAAGAAGATATGCGATTCAGCTGTAGTTCTCAATAAACTGCTTATAGAAGTTAATGTATTCGAGGAAAAACCTAATATTTCTAATATTCTTGGGAATTGGCTAATTTCTAACAGCTTCTATCTTATCTTTCTGTAGCTTAATATATCCTGGCTTGATTGTGAATTCGAGATAATTAACCTTTTGTACATAAAAGTAACTCTTTGCTGATTCCACAAGAAGCTTTGCATCCTGAAGCATTTGCAACACTATTTCCATGTATTTCTTATATTCTTCTAATGTTTGAGAGTAGATAAGAATATCATTGAGATAAGCAATGATGAACTGATCTAGATGCTTGTATAGAATATAATTGATTATTTTCTGGAATAAAGCTGAAGTATTTGTTAAATCAAAGAGCATAATTAAATATTTGTAGTATTTATAGCATATTCTGAAAGCAGTTTTCCATTCTTCTCCTTTTTTTATTCTAATTAGATTATAAGCTTCTTTCAGATTCAGAACTATAAACTACTATACTTCTTGCAACTTATCTTGTAATTCTTTGATAAGTAGCAATGAATATCGATTCTTAATTGTAATATTATTAAGTTACTTATAATCAATATATAGCTTAAGCTTACTATTTTTCTTAGATATAAACAGGATAAGATATCCTGCTAGTAATTGCAATAGTTGTATATATTCTTTCTTAAGGTTCTCATTGAGATACTTTCTAAGTGCTTCCAGCTATATCTTATTTAGTCTATAGATAGAGAAGAATTTGAGCTGTTTCTCTTCTTGTAGCAGGATCTTGTAGTTATATGAGCTATGTTCTAGCAATCCTGTATTCAATTCTTTCTGGAATAGTTTCTTGAACTTGTGATATTCTTGCAATATATTTGCAAGTATTGATTCTAGTTCTTATGCTGTTTCTGCTATCTGGAGGAACAGTAGGTATTGTTGAGCGTGCTTCTTTTCGTTCGTTGTTTTTGGCGATGTTTTTGAGAGCCTTGAGCGTTCGCTCTGAGCTGGACTGAGCGCTCGAGGGCCTGATTTCGAGGTTTTTCCTGTGTGGATTTACAATCCACATTCTGAAGCTTTTCCTTGTTGCTCTGGAGCGGACCGATTTGCTGAGAGTCTCGCTTTCATTGTTTTGCTAATCTGTTAGCGCTCTAGCACTGTTTGAGTTCGCCTATTACTAGATTCTTCTCCTTGAACTGCTAGCCCTGCTAACTTGGAAGTATATATGAAGTTATGTAAAGCTTCTTTTCCTAAGTATTCTTTAACTACTAGCTTCAATCCTGTGCTGTTGATTGCAACTATTTCTCTGAATACAGCTTATTCTTATAAGATCTAGCTAGTAGTTCAATTGATTCGAGGATTGTGCTCTTTGAGCTATGGAAGCTTTATAATCAGCTTATACTATACTGTATCTGTGATATCAAAGGAAGCTTTGATTATGCATTCTTGAATCAAAACAAATAGATAATCAGTCTTCTTATTGATTATTCCTTGGTTATATGCAACAGATTATTCTTCTACAATGCTGAGAGTATATGAGCATTTCTTTCATCTTCATTGTAGTTATGCCTGATTGACTATATATGGGGATATAAAGTTTCCCTGAGCGCTATTATTCAATAGTATGCTGTATTTGTATTCTCGAATATATATATCGAACTTGATATAAGCATAATTTGTTCTAGAAGCTTTATATAGGAATCATTCCAGTCTGATCATCTGCAATCCCTTTACAAGCAATCCCATCCTTTTGAGTTTATTAAGAACTGCTTGTTCTCCTAAGCTTGCTTCACTGCTTCTTAAGCAAGCTTCTTAGCTTGCTTTTGCTTGTATCATTATTATTTCTAATCTTTCTTCTATTAATGCTAGTTGCAAATCTTATTATTAATATAAATCGTGCAGAGTATCATCTCGCATTGCTATCATTTTATTTTCTTATTCATACATTGCATGAAGCAGTTGTCTGGTAGTTTAATATATGCATTGTAATACTATTTGTTAAGAATCTTTCTAAAGCGAAGTTTCTGTTCTTTAATAGCTTGAAGGATTTGTTCTGATTCTCTAATAGAGAACTATTCGTATTGTATCTTATCTGAGAAATGCATTCTGCAGCTATAATAGATGCAGAAGATTTATGCTAGTTCGTAATGTAAGTTGTGAAGTGAGCTGATTCGAGAGTTCTCATCTTCTTATGCTTCAATATTGTCAGGGCTTGTATGCGCACAAAGGAAATAGGTGGCCCTTGCGACCCCTGGTGGCGGTCCAGGGCTGCTGCGAGGGCTTCGCTCCGAAGCAGCGCTCTCGTACGATGCCGCGTGGCCATCAGGCCATTGTCATCCCATCTAGTCCAGGCCAATTGTGTACATAAGGGAAAGGGGAACAACAGGTTCAGCAGCGAAAAGAGGAGGAGGGAGATAGGTTCAGTAGTCCCTTTGAATGGAAGCGTCAACAGAGCGGCTTGGGAGCAGCTCACACCCCTTCACCTCACTTGTGTGCTCTTTTTACCCTGACAAGTCTGAACCTTCTACCCTTTCCCGGGAAGTGAGCCGTCGGGGGTGAGAATGGCTCCAGTTACACGAAGCGGCAGCGCCGCTCCAGAGCGACAACCACAACGAGCCGGCGACTCCGACCCCTCACAGACCCTAAGCCAACTCCCCTCTCAGACCCTCCCTCCAAGCTCGAACCCAGGCCCAGCCCACGAGAACCCCTCGCTCGAGGCACCAGCAGATATGGCCGGGTTGCAACGCCAGGAACGCGAGCTCGATCGTCAGTTGGAAGAAGAGGAGATACGGCAGCGGCTGAGGAGCAAGCGCGCTCGCTTAACACTACTCCAGAGCGGCGACACCGGCCCGGAGCCCCGGCCAGCTGGCCTCAGCCCTCTCAGCACCCCTCCTGTGCCGACCCCTTCAGAGGCACCCTCGACAGCGCCTGCACAGCTATATCGCGGCTTGCCAGCCCTCATATACAAGGGGGGATCGTACATGGAGTTGAAGACGTTCCTATACGACCTGCGGTACCATTTCGACATCTGCCGCTTGACCAATGAAGCGGATAAGGTGGGATATGCAGTGCGCTGCTTGAAAGACGATCCCAAGCGGGACTGGGTCAACTATGTCGCCCGCCAGGAGGAGGGACAGCGTGAGCCTGTCCCTATCACCTTCGGAGAACTCGAGTCCTTCCTGGAGAACCAATTGGCCGATCCCACCACCCGCGCTGTCACTGCTGCAGCGACGCTTGCAAGCATCGCTCAAGGCAAGGGCGAATCAGTGATAAGCTTCGTGCGCCGGTACCAGGAGGCGGAGCTTGAGTCTCCCCATCCTGACACCGAGCAACACCGCATAACGGCTGTCCTCACACGCCTCAGACCAGAAATCCGTATCGCCATCAGTGCGCAGACGACGCTCCCGAGCAGCTGGAATGCCCTGATTGGCTTAGCACGACGTATCGAATCCGCTCAAGGGACGGTCACCAACCCTCAACCTGCTGTCAAGACGCTCCTAAGCAGCAGCCCAGGAACTGCTACCCCCTCATATCGTGGCTGTTACAGCTGTGGCAAGCCAGGCCATATAGCAAGGGACTGCACAGCTCCGCGTGGTTCTCAGGCACTTCCCCTCACGGGCACTCAAGCTTCGTCGACGCGCCCTCAGACAGTTGACAACAACTTTGCCCGCTGTTACAACTGTCAGAAGACAGGCCATTTTGCTAACCTATGCCCGGAGCCTCGACGAAACGTCTGTTACACCTGCAATAAGCCAGGCCACTATAGTTCCAGTTGCCCAGAGGCAGAATGTCGGATTTGCAGGAAGAAGGGGCATACAGCAAACAGCTGCGAGCAGGCCAACAAGGTGGCGACAGCCACGCAACAGAGCTGAGGAGACGCCGAGCGGAAGCCTCGCCAGCTCACCGTCCACGCGAGGCTGTCGCTCGGAGACAAAAGGAAGCACACGTATGGGTTGGTCGACTCGGGGGCAGAGGAGAACCTGATCGACCGCCGCTTGGCCGAGGCTCTGGCGCAGAACCAACCTTTTGAAGCATGCCCCAGGCTCGTCTCAATTAACCAGGGAGCTATCATCACATACGGCAGCTGCTCTATCGATGTGAAAGTCACAGATAGCCTAGGAACATCCAGGAAGCAGCGCCATCGCTTCGTGGTAGCAGATATTGGCCAGCCCAGCCTGATCCTGGGGTTCCCGTGGCTTGAGGTCGTCAACCCGGTAATACGATGGGATATGAGGCAATGGAGGTTTCCCCTCCAGCGCTCCCAGATTCGGCTCTGCACTATGGCGAAAGGGCTTGAGGGAGCGAGGGTTGCCTTTGCGGCATATTACTACCCAAGCCCACCAGACCTACCCCTCGAGGCTGAGCCAGAAGACGCGGCGCCAGAGCTGCGCCTGCCCCCTGAGTACCGCGACTTCGTCGACCTATGCATGGAGGAGGCATCAAAGTCGCTCGCACCCCACACTGATATCGACCATCGCATCGAGCTCGAAGAGGGGGCAAGACCGCCCTGGGGGCCCTTGTACGCCCTCTCCGCGGCCGAACTAGAAGTGCTCAGGAAATACTTGGAGGAGATGCTAGCCAGGGGATGGATTCGACCCTCGACCAGCCCTGCTGGCGCACCTATACTGTTCGTGCCAAAGAAAGGAGGCGAGCTGCGCCTCTGCGTGGACTACAGGGCGCTGAATCGGATTACACGCAAGGACCGCACCCCGTTGCCTTTGATTGCCGAGATCCTCGATCGACTGAGCCATGCACAAATCTATACCAAGCTCGACCTTAAGGATGCGTACCATCGGCTCCGAATCCGTGAAGGAGACGAGTGGAAGACCGCCTTCCGTACGAAATACGGCCATTTCGAGTACTGTGTTCTGCCCTTTGGCCTCACCAACGCCCCGGCCACGTTCCAGGCATACATCAACAAGGCGCTGGCGGGCCTGGTGGATGTGATCTGCATCGTCTACCTGGATGATATCCTGATCTACAGTGATGATGCCAAGCAGCATACAAGCCACGTTCGAGAGGTCTTGGAGCGGCTACGGCAATGGGGGCTATACCTCAACCTGAGGAAGTGCGAGTTCAACATACGACAGGTGGAATTCCTGGGCTTTGTGGTGTCCCCAGAAGGAATCAGTATGGACAAGGGGCGCGTCGCAGCTATTGCGCAGTGGCCGCTCCCGCGCACCGTCCGCGATATTCAGATATTTCTTGGGTTCACTGGGTTCTACCGTCGATTTATACGGAACTACTCCAAGGTCGCCACACCATTGACCGACCTTTTGCGAGGCGGCGGCACAGGCGTGGTCGCGCTCTCGAACCGCGCCCGAGTAGCTTTCAAGACCCTGATCATGCTCTTTACAACAGCCCCATTGCTACGCCACTACGATGCTGCATTACCAACGAGGGTTGAAACGGATGCTTCTGCTTTCGCTATAGGAGCTGTGCTAGCCCAGCTGTTTCAAGGCCGCTGGCATCCAATTGCCTTTCGTTCAAAGAAGCTCTCTCCAACAGAAACACGGTATAGCGTGGGGGATATCGAGCTGTTGGCTATTGTGGACGCTGTATCAAACTGGCGGCATTATTTGTTGTATCTGCCTGAGCCTGTACTCGTCCTCACGGACCATCTCAACTTGCAGTACTGGGAGACTAAACAGAAGCTATCTGCCCGCCAGTTGCGCTGGCTGGACGATCTCAGCGTGTATAACCTCATCATCCAGTACCGCCCCGGCAAGTCCAACCCGGCTGATGGGTTGTCCAGGCGGCCAGATCACCAGGGGGGAGAGGGAGCTGAGCAGGAGCTGCGAAGCCCCAGCGATTTCGTCACGATGGAGAATCTGGAGGATCAGAGAGGACCTTGTGTTGGTCGTATTCGAAGAGTGAGAGTGGAGCAAGCAGCAGACCTGAGTGTCTCCTGTTTTCGAGTGTGCGCCCTTCGCTATTCGAGCGAGGGCGCGGAGTTTGAGCAGACAGCAGACCTGAGTGTCCCCTGTTTTCGAGAGTGCGCCCTTCGCTATTCGAGCGAGGGCGCAGAGTTGAAGCGGAGTGTCCGCTTGGCAACTGATGTTGCTTGGGTGTCGGGTCGCGAACCGACCACCCTTCCGCGCCTAGCGGTGGAGCGAAGCGTGGCAACGGCGCCGGAGCAGCTTGCAGAGCCAATGAGGGCGCATCTGCTACGACTGCAACAAGAAGACGTTTTTGTTCAGACGGAAGCTTGGCGCAAGAGGCGAACACGCAGCTCTACAGCCGGTGTGGAGCTATGGCAAGTCATCGAGGGCTTGCTATGCTTCAGGGGACGTGTATTTGTGCCAAACCATCCATCAACTCGCAAGAAGCTTTTGGAGGCGTACCATGATGATCCAACAGCCGGCCATCTCGGCATAGCTAAGTCCACTAAGATGATTTCTCGTTACTACTATTGGAATGCGTTAGCTAAGGATATGAAGAAGCATATTAACACGTATGCAGTGTGCCAGCGGATAAAAACGAGGAAACAACGCCCATACAGCCTGCTCAGTCCCTTACCACCAGCAACTCGCCCATGGGCCGAGATATCAATGGACTTTATCACCGGTCTGCCCGAGTCCATCGGTCTCTACAATAAGGCTTACGATGCTATCCTGGTGATCGTCGACAGATACTCGAAGTACGCCCTGTACATTCCGACAACAATACGGCTCACAAGCAGCAGCCTAGCAGATATCATACTGTGGCACATGTATCAGTTCTACGGCATTCCTGAGGGCATTGTGTCAGACAGAGGGAGCCTCTTTACAAGCCACTTCTGGACTGACTTCTGCTTCCACCTGGGGACCAAGCGGCGCCTGAGCACTGCGTTTCACCCCCAAACAGATGGACAGACCGAGCGGCAGAACCAGAACCTCGAACAATACCTCCGCGCTTATTGCAGCCTTTCTCAAGCGGATTGGGCGCGGCGCCTACCCCTTGCACAGGCAGCGTATAACAGCGCAGACCATAGCGGGACAGGATCATCACCTGCTATGTTGCTCTACGGATTCCAACCAACAAAACCGACAGATATCAACACGCAGCGCCCAAGCTACGTCCCCAAGGTCTCAGAGCGGCTCGAAGACCTCGCCAAGGCTCGTGAGGAGGCTCAGGAAAGCCTCAACCATGCAAGACAAGCATACACCAGGTGGTACAACAAACGCCATACCGATAAAAGATTCTCCCTTGGCGACCTCGTCCTCGTCTCAGCCAGGCATTTACGCCAAAAAGGCGTCAACAATAAACTGGCAAACAAATACCTTGGCCCTTTTCGAGTGCTGGAGATCGTGGGAGCGCATGGACTGGCGTACAAGCTCGAATTGCCAGCGAAATACAAGGTCCACAATGTCTTTCCAATCGTGGCCCTGAAGAACTTCAATAAACGAGATGGAGAAGAGCTCGAGGCGCACCCTGACATCGACCTCGAGGAAGAGGCGCGTTGGGAGGTGGAGGCTATTCTGGCACACCGAGGGCCACCTAGGAACCGCCAATTCCTCATACATTGGAAGGGATATAGCAGCGATGAGGATTCATGGGAACCACGGGCATTTATTGACGACGGACCATTGATCAAAGAATACGAGGCACGGTTGAAGCGGTAACAACGCAGCGCGGAAGCTGCTCAGTCTTTGATTGGAAAACTAAAAACCCTTATATGGCCCACCCACCCGGGGAGTTAGCGACGCCCCTGCGTCGTGGCAATCAGTGCCAGTTATTTCCCACGCTGTAAAAGCGCGCCCACCCACCCAGGGTTTTTAAAGAGGTTACCCTCCCTCTTCGGGAGCCGCCTCAGAAGGCTTGCGAGCTGCCTCGGCCAGCGTCTCCAGAGCGCTGACACCGCGCCGAAGCAGCGACATCAACTCCCCGCTCATAACAGGGGCAGGAGACGCGCCGACCACCGGCGTAGGAGCAGCGCCCACAGAGCGCACCAGCCGGAGGACACCCTGCAAGTCCTCGTCGGTCGGCTCCCGACCAAAGGAGCAGGCATTGTCCAGGGCCAAACCCGCCTCGTAAGGAAGCTATAGTGGCTTGTGAGCAGCGCGAAAGACAAGAGGGAGCAGGGGTAATACTACTCACGGGCTGGCAGGAGTGGTTGCCGCGAGCACACCGAAAACAACGGGCACCGGAGCCTATGACGAATCAATATGAGGATTTGTAAGGCAAGGAAACTGGCGCACCTGACTGGTCCCGGCACCGGACCTCAGGCTCCTGGATGCGGCGACGCACGCACCCCTGGCACCAGCCGGCGGGGGGACGCACCGCACCCGGTCCCTCGGGGACCTTCTTCCTCTTGACGGCCTAGCAACGTCAGCGCGGCGCTGTATACACGATATATATGAGTACTCACGGAGGCCGTGGGAGTGACGGGAGGCGGGGCCTCCGGGGCAGGAGTCTCGGGAGACTCGAGGGGGGGCGAGAGAGAGGGCGAGGGCGAGGGAGAGGCCCTCTTGCGCTTCTTGCTGGCGGGGGCCTTGCGGCCACCACGCCGACCGCCGCGGCGGCCACGAGAGGGAGAGGACGCGGGAGCAGCGGGGGCGCCCGAGGGCAGAGGGTGGCGAGGAGGGGGCACCGCGTCAACAGCGCCGGAGGAGGCATTGCCAGCCTCCGAGGCCTCAGGGGCGATCTGACCCTCAGAGACCTCAGGGGCCGGCGCAGCCTCCCCAGACGCGTTGACAGCAGTAAAAGGAGACATCTGCGACGAAT